CTGCTGATGAGCTAGAGAGATCTCAGGAGAGCCGAGGGAACTGTGGCCACGTGACAAGGTTCCCCTCAGCCAACGAGTGGGACGCGATGGCAGGTGGCAAGGACAGCCTTACCCTCTCACAGACTGCCACGTGAAACCAGCTGGAAGAATGCTCGTCCCTGTGTTGCTTACACTGACAAAATTTCACCTAAGAATCTGGGGTTCCCGGACGCACTAGTTTGTTCCTACAATGGACAGTCTTTAAAGCAATGAAGCACAAGTCTATTGACAACCACAGGAAAATGCTTCCCCAGCTCAGGGCAGGGGAGCAGCTTTCAAAATGGGGTGCTCCGCGTGGCTCCATAGACACGGCAAAGGCTGCAGTGGGGCACGCGAGGGTGGACTATTTCTCGATCCTGGGAATGAGGTGATCCTCGTTTTCTTCTTGCTGATGTATCTGTCGGGCTGGCACTGTGGTGTGGTAGGTTAAGCCTCTACCTGCAGCGCTAACATCCCAGATGGGCACCGGTTTGAGTCTTGGCTGCTCTGCTTCCCATCCAGCTCCCTGCTAATGTGCCTGGGAAAGCAGAGGAAGATGGCCTAAGTCCTTGGGCCCCTGCACCTGCGTGGGAGACCCGGAAGAAGCTCTTGGCTCCTGGCTGTTGTAGTCATTTGGGGAGTGAACCAGCAGATGGAAGACCTTTCTCTATATCTCTCCCTCTCTTAACTCGGCCTCTCAAATAAATAAAGAAATAAATTTTTTTTTTAAAGTATCTGCACAAGCATGTATTACCTGTGTCATTTTGAAGGAATGCTTTGTGTATGTTTTGTTTTTTTTCTTTTACTTTTGTCTCAGAAAAGAAGGAAAAGAGTAAGCTGATGCCTTGAAGCCAAAGAGAATTCCTGTGAACCCCCTCATTGTCTTCAGTAAGAACCTTCTGGGTCTGGACAGGTGGATTTGTGTAAAATTCCTTGAAGCCCCATCCCCAGCTTTTTAAAAGTCCGGTTCACCCTCTCCTTCTTAGACAGGAAACGAGCAGAGCTGAACAATTCTGTTCTTCTGCCGCCCCTGTCCGCAGCTACCCTCTGCCCCGAGCCTGGGCCTGTCTGCCGTCTGCTTACTCATAGTTTTCAAAAGCCTTTACATGGATGGATTGATTGATCTGTTTATTTTGCATCAGAAAAATAGATACACACAGAGAGAACGTACTCTCATCCGCTGGTTCACGCCCCCAAATGCCTGCAATGGCCAGAACTAGGTTGGGGCCAAAGACTCAGTCCAAGTCTCCCACAAGGGGACAGGGACCCAAACACTTGTGCCACCATCACAGCTTCCCGGGTCTGTATGAGGAGGAGGCCGGAGTTAGGAGTCAGAGCTGGGAGAAATCAAACCCAGGCACCCTAATATACATTTTAACCGGCTCCTAACTACACTAAATGTTCACACTGATACATTTGCAAATATTCAAAACAATTGGAATATTAACTGTTAAATCACAATAAGGAACTATTTTTAATTTTATTAAGTGATAACTAGGTTGTGGTTATATAGGTTGAATGTCCCTAATCTGAAATGCTTCAAAATTCAAAACTTGTTGAACACTGACATGATGCCACAGTGGAAAATTCCACATTATGAAACTTTGCACAAAATTATTTAAAATGTTGCATAAAATTACCTTCAGGCTATGTGTATTATAGGGTGTATATGAAATATAAATGAATTTTGTGTTAGACTTGGATTCCATACCCAAGATACTCTGTTATATATATGCAAATCCCCAAATTTCAAAAAAACAAAAAATCTGAACTCCAAAGCACTTCGGTGCCAAGATATCCAATAAGGAATTCTCAAGCTGAATATATTTTTGAAGTTCTTATCTGATACAGATATAAGGCAAATAAAAATGGGATTTATTTTTATTCTCACTCTCTAATTAAAGAAATACAGCATAAAATTATCACCAACAGGGGCCGGTGCCGTGGCATATTGGGTAAAGCCACAGCCTGCAGTGCCAGCATCCCATATGGGCGCCAGTTGGAGTCCCGGCTGCTCCCCTTCTGATTCAGCTCTCTGCTGTGGCCTGGGAAGCAACAGAAGATGGCCCAAGTCCTCGGTTCCTGCGCCCACGTGGGAGACCCAGAAGAAGCCCCTGGCTCCTGGCTTTGGATGGGCTCAGCTCCAGCAGCTGCAGCCAACTGGGGAGTGAACCACTGGATGGAAGACACTTCTCTCTCTCTGCCTCTCCTTTTCTCTCTGTGTAACTCTTTCAAATAAATAAATCTTTAAAAAAAATTATCTCCAACAAAGAAAGTTTACTTTCTGCTACAGTGACTTCAAGTATTTGAAGGAATGTTGCTGGGATGTCCCAGAGCAGATGACAAAGGAACCAACAGCACACAGGCTGCTTCCTGGTGGAGGGGAAGAAGCAGGAAGAGCCCCAGTCCCAGGAGGGAATCCCAGACTGCCTGTCCAAGCAAACTTCGTGCTTCCCACACAGACCCCACCCACATCTCAGGGCCAAGCTCTCTCTCTGCAAGGTGAGGGCCACCGGCACAGCCCGCCCCAGACAGCACAACTCGGAACCGCTCGCTGCTGTCATCACACTCACCAACTTCCCTGGCCCTCGCCAACCTAAATCTGCAGAACTAGCAATTTGCAGAGAAGCGAAAAATCAAAATGAGAGTAGCTTAAAAAGCAAAGACAAGAAACGCAGGAGTGAAAACGTGTTACCCACACAAAACCAGATCAGAAATCAAAGTAACTGCAAGAGTGAGGAAGATCCTCTGCCCTGGGGGTCTTCTTTGATCTGCAAAGGTGAGGGGGCAGTGGGGGTTTCTGTCTCAGACTTAAAGAGGCTCCTTGCCTGATTTCTCCTTATGGTGAAAATAGGAAATCTGCCAGACAGACCTCCCAAGTCCCACTCCACAGCCCCATTCATGACAAGAAAACGTCACATCCCCGAGTCTCCCCACCCCTCCACCATCTCCCAACAAACAAAATTTGAGTCTTTGGTAGTTAAACACAGTTCCATCTTTTATTTACTTGTCCCATCAGACTGGAGCTGACCTCCTCATCTGGCTAAAAGCTATAGTTGCACATTACACAACATTCTGAAAACACTGAATGATGCAAAGGAGAAAGCAAAAATCAATTACCACCTGGCACTAAATTTTTTCAATTTTTTCAATGCATCACCTTTTTTCCAAAACTAACATTGTATTTCATATACAGTCCAGCATGCTTTTTCATTTTATATTTATATGAAATACATCATATATCAAGATTCTTTAAATACAATTATAATGACTGCTTAAAATTTCATGATTTGGGGGCCAGTGCTGTACCATAGCAGGTTAAGCCATTGTTTGCAGTGTCAGCATCCCATTTGAGCACTGGTTCGAGTCTCAGATGCTCCACTTCCAATCAAGCGCTCTACTAGAGTGCCTGGGAAAGCAGTGGAAGACACAAGTGTCTGGGCCCCTGAACCCATGAGGGTGACCAGGAAGAAGCTCCTGGCTCCTGGCTCTGGCTTGGCCCAGCCCCAGCTGTTGTAGCCATTTGGGGTGTGAACCAGTGGATGGAAGATGTCTCCTTCTCTCTGTAATTCTGACCTTCAGAAAAATAAATCTTTTAAAAAATTTCATGATATGAACATAGCATCATTTATTTAACCAATGTTTAATGCTGGGTATTTTAATTATCCCCAATTTCTGCTGTAATAACATTGAGTGAACACTTTCATGTAAACGTGTGTGAATATAAGCACATGATTGTTTCTATGAGTAAACAGACATGAGTGCAATCATTGGAACAAAAGCGCTGACAAGCGGCCCATATAAACAGCACCATGCGTGACTACCATCTCATCACACTCAAAAGGTCGGCTATCACTGGGTATAATCTTTGCCAGGTCAACTTGTTTCCTTTTGACTTTCATTTACAACTGGCAAAAATTAACATTCTCTCATTGGTTTTTAGATCCTATTTTTTCTTCTGTACATCATCAGATTTACCTACTTTCCTAGCAAGGTGGTCATCACTTTTTATTGACTTCTCTCATCTCTGTACAGGTTAAGAATATCAATCTTTTTTTAGTTAAAGGTGTTGCAAAATTTTCTAAAGATGTTCTGTGCCCACGTGTTCTGGGAATTCCCCCGATTCCTGGTACTCCCCCATCACGGAGCAACCCCGAAGCTGAATGGAAGGAAACAGCCAAGAGGCCTGAAAGGTCACCTAACCCGACCCACTCATTTCCCCTAGCCCAGGGTGGCTGCTGGGCCGGCTTGAGGCCCAGCAATGGAACCAGCTGAGTCAGCACACTTTCCACACACACACCACACACACACACACACACACACACACACATACACTCAAATACACAGTACGTCTGCCTTTTGCACCCCACACTCCATCGCCTTACTATTTTGAGCACAAAGTCCATAGGGGGAGCAAAATAGATCCAGCCAAGCATAGCTGGGTGTCAGGGATGCATTTTGAGAAATGCATAAACAAAACCCCTAGGGTGATGGTCACTGAATAGACATCCTAGAGTATACTTCACAAACTAAGATGGCTATGGTGTCACTGAGCCATGTCACCTTGTCGGACTGCCATCGTACATGCTGTCCACTGACGGAAACCCCGCTGTGCACTCCACAATCGTATTTCAAATTATTCACACAGTCACCACCAGGCTTGCCTTCTTCCAAAACAAGATTTTATTGTGTTCTCGTGGCTTTTTATTAAAAAAAAAAAAAGTAGCTCTCATTTTAATAGAAAATACTCTCCAAAGAGCTGTTCCTTTCTCAGTGCTCCTTCAAGACGGCTAATGTCTCTTTAGGGCATCACTGAGCTTCCCAGTGTTCTCCAGAAAGATAAACCTTTAATTCATGAATTGCTTAAACTACGAAACAAGTCCAGGTATTCTGTTCTGGATAGTTAGCCCAGAGCACTAAACGGAGACAGGTGATTTAGTTTTAGTTTCAGCAAATAAAACTGTCAATATTCAGTCACTTACAGAAGGTTCAGATTGTGGGACTGGTGATCTCCGTTCGATTCTGCCTCGCTCATGCATTAGCAAGATTGCCTTGGAAAGTCACACAAGCAGAACTGTAAAAAAAAAAAAAAAATGCATACAGGGATGCAGAGTTTGCAGGGTTTTTTAAGGCACTGGAAAAAAACTGATCTCCCTTGCCTAGCAGAATGCCTGACACTTAGTGGATAAAGACAATAAACATGTCTGTCAGATACTGTTTCAGATGCATTATGAAAATTGCCGCACTTAACCATTCCAGCAACGCCACGTGATCAGTACCATTCTGCCTCACTTTACAGCTGGGACACAGAGGCCAGAGAAAGCCAGTCCCTCGTGCAAGATGACAAGTTTGTGAGGAGCGGACCTGGGTTTGAACCTGGCAGTGTAGCCTCTGAGCCCATTCATACATCTCCGTGTGCAGCCCTGACAAAACTACACAATAAAGGCAAAAGGCGAGGAGGGAGAACTGGAAAGACACTTTTTTCGCTGGTGGGTGATTGCATTTTGACCTCAGCCCTGATTTCTAACAGCATTTGGAAGATTTCTTTCTTAAACAGACCCCCCCCCCTCTCTCTCTGTCTCTCTCTCTCTCTCTCTCACACACACACACACACACCCCAGCAGATGTGCCAGAAACTTCCATCTTTGTAGCGAGCCATTCAGCGGACTCCAAGGGCATTCTTAAGTGCGTCTGAAGCCCGGGGCTGGACACTTTTCAACCCCCTTCCTTTATATGACAAAGTTACTTCCGGCAATAAGGTGCAGGAGTCAGGAACAACCATTATTTTCTAAATTCATTATTTAACTTGAAAACAAGCAAGTTAGAATTTACAAGAAAAAATAAATGTGAACTTAAGATTATTAAAATCAGTTTAATATCTCCTGTGTGAACAAAAATTTACACCTACCAATCAAAAAGGATTATGCCTCACAGTTTGTGCTCTGCTTCCTTGTTTTTTGTTTGTTTGTTTGTTTTAAGATTTATTTATTTATCTTGATAAGTTAGTTACAGAGAGAGAGAGGGAGAGAGACAGACAAAGGTCTTCCATCTGCTGGTTCATTCCCCATATGGCCGCAACGGTCAGGGCTGAGCCAATCCAAAGTCAGGGGCCATGAGCTTCTTCTGGGTCTCCCACATGGTTGCAGGGACGCAAGGACTTGGGCCATCTTCTGCTGCTTTCCCAGGCGCATTAGCAGGGAGCTGGATGGGAAGATGGGAAGTGAAGCAGTCAGGACTCGAACCAGCACCCATCTGGGATGCTGGCACTGTAGGCAGTGGCTTTACCCACTACACCACAGCACTGGCCCCTTCCTTGTTTTAAATTTAAATTAAAAACTCTTAAGAGCTCAACAGAATAATAGGATTGAAGCAACTCTAATTCTGTTTCACTATGCTATCGTTAATTTCTAATCTACTGTTCAGACTTGGGAATATGCAGTAGCAGAGAGGGAAGAGACAAAACCTGCCCCTAAAGCTCCAGTGGAATCTGTCTACATCAGTAAAAACTTACCCTGGCTTGATCACGCCAGCACACGGGGACGATAAAAAGGGAACTGTGCTGGTCTCTCGCTGTTTTTCAGTTCTGAGTGATTCACTCCCTTACTGCCTTGTACCACCCATCCTTTCTTTCCCTGCCAGCATCTATCAAAAGCTTCAGACGCATGTGCCTCTTATTTCGGCAGTTCTCATTCTCTGAACATATTGTCCTCATGGACTACAGGAGTCACCAAGATGAGCACGCACACCCGCTGCTGCATTATTCACAACAGCAGAAGGGAAAGGACTGGAGATAGTGGGAAGACCCAGGAAGAGGTGGTGGTTGAATTAGTGATGCCACATCCACGCAGTGGAATCCAGTACGGCCTCAGAAAAACAAACTCAGGTCAGCCTATTTGTATTGCCCAAGAAGGTTCGAGAGATTAGCAGCTGACAAAAGCAAGTGATGGGCCATCGGGGAAAGGATCCTGTTCATGCAGAAAAGTCAACGGGCAAACCTGCTCTACTGAGCCCTGCTGTCCCTTCCCGACACCGGTCCAGGCAGAGAGAGGCATCTGTGCCGTGACAGGCAAATCCAGGCTTGCTGGGAACTCCCAGTTGCCCTATACTTGGCCTTCTATAGGAAAAACAATGCTAGACACACGGCAGCCACTTCCTAGTTTGTCTGTGGGAGAAAAGGAACAAAGAGGAGTAACCTAAAAACGTAAGTTTAAGCGGATTTCTTTTAGACTTTAAAAATCCCCTTCAGGAACACAGATGTGTATACTTGAAAAAGAAAAAGACTGATTTATGTGAAAGGTGGTAGCAGGGGAGAGGGGAGAGAGAGAGAGAAAGGTCTTCCTTCTATTGATGTATTCCCCAAATGACTACAGCAACCTGTGCCACTGCAGGTGAAGCCAGGAGCCAGGAACTCCATCCAGATCTCCCCCGTGGGAGGCAGGGACCCTGGTACTTGGGCCATCATCCATTGCTTCCCAGATACCTTAGCAGGAAGCTCAAAGGGAAGCAGAGTGGCTGGGACTCACACCAGAACTCCAACACAGGAAGCAGGCATCGCAAGCAGCAGTCTAAGCTGCGGCACTACAGTGCCCTCCCATGTGTACTTTTAATGTACATTATGTGGCAGAGATTATGCACAGCCATGGGATTAAATATTTCCCTGGGTGCTCAGCTTCTAGTCAAGAACTTAATAAGAAAGATGAAGAAACTCAGAAACAAATTGACAATGTCCCTGAAACTGCCGGTATACTCCAGTGCAGAATTCTTCAATGGTTTAAGCCACTGCACAGACAGGTATAATGTTACATTAACATTAAATTCCAAAAGTTTATAGAAGTCTGAAAAAATTATGACACAATATCATCCTTTAACTGGCTTGTAACTAGGCCTACTTTTAAAGAGCTTAATAGGGACAGAAGCTAATAAAGAAAATGTTAGTGTTTCGACTAGGCCTAGAGGTTTAAAGATTTTTCTTTTTTCACTTAGTAATGTCTCTGACCCTCACCTTTTGGTTTTCTTCTATAGAAGTAATGATCTTATGGAGAGTTGTCATGTGATGGCCATGCAAAAGCAATGGCTGTGCTAGGCTACAACGGAATCAGGTGCCTTCCAGCACGGAGCTTGGGGAACAGAACCCTGAGAGAAGACAAGCAACATTCTGCACATACCTCTCCTCTCTTCTCAGCCTCGCCCCACCAAAAATCACAATTTAAATGCACCAGTGAGATCATAAAGGCAAATGCATAAACGAGATAATAAAGGCAAAAGCAAAATGCCAAGAAAACACAGAGGACAGAGTGCTAAAGTGTTCCAGGGCACTGGGGGCGAGGGCCAGCGAGGAGTGGCCTTGTACTCTGCCTCCGAAGAGAGAAGGAAAATGGGCTCAGTGGCCCACATCCTGGAGAGGGAGTGGCTGTGGCCCAGGCTCCCACATGGAGAGGCTGGTGATTTGGAGTGGTGAAAGCTGGCTTTTCCAGCGGATGGGCAGGTGGGGAGTGACGTTGGAAGGAGACACTGGAGCAGATGTTTTTTGTTCTTTTTGTTTGTTCTGGACAGGCAGAGTTAGACAGTGAGAGAGAGAGACAGAGAGAAAGGTCTTCCTTCCATTGGTTCCCCCCCAAATGGCCGCTACAGCCCACACGCTGCGCCGATCCGAAGCCAGGAGCCAGGTGCTTCCTCCTGGTCTCCCATGCAGGTGCAGGGCCCAAGCACTTGGGCCATCCTCCACTGCCCTCCTGGGCCACAGCAGAGAGCTGGACTGGAAGAGGAGCAACTGGGACTAGAACCAGCACCCCAACCGGGACTAGAACCCGGGGTACCGGTGCCGCAGGCAGAGGATTAGCCAAATGAGCCACGGCGCCGGCCTACACTGGAGCAGATGTACAAGGGGCCTTTGAAGCCACATAAAGTATCAAACAGCCCACACCCAGCCTCCTGTCCCCTTACCTTTCTCCCTTTCTTTGTCCCCTGCCTGCCCCCCACTTCACCTGGCCACCGCTCTTTCTGCAGAAGGCGACATCCCCCCAAGCTCGCCTGCCCTTTCCTGCTCCAGCAACCTGCATCAAGCCCATCTCCTATTCTAAAATACAGCCCTTCTATCCCTCACTCTTCCCGGTAAACGTCCACCTGTCCCAGAGCCCAGCTCACATGCCACCTCCTTCACGAGACCTTCCCAAATAGGCATGATTTTTCTTCTTTACGTTGACATTTTTTTAATAGGTAACACACCTACAATAAAACTCAGAAAGTACAAAAGTTGAAAAGTACATTTCCCTCCTAGGCCTACCTCCCAGCCACTTCCCAAGAGGGGACCATTGCACAAAGTTGCTTCTGCATTGTCCCAGCACTATTATGTTATTAGATGTATCTATACACACACGCGTGTGTGGTTATCATACATTTGCACATACACATCCTTGTTTATATACCAACAGCACAGTACTCCCTGATGCCTTTCTCATGTACAGCATGCCACAAAGCTCTTTATCAGTAGAGTTTGAGTTGCCCGGTTCTTTCTAAATTCTTTTAGTAGAGGATAAAGCCATTTTTCCTTGGTTACAGATAAATCAAAATATGGCCGGCGCTGTGGTACAGTGGGTTAAAGCCCTGGCCTGAAGCACTGGCATCCCATATGGGCACCAGTTTTAGTCCCAGCTGCTCCTCTTCTGACCCAGCTCTCTGCTATGGCCTGGGAAAGCAGTAGAAGATGGCCAAGTCCTTGGGCCCCTGCACCCTCATGGGAGACTCGGAAGAAGCTCCTGGCTCCTGGCTTCAGAGCCGTTGCAGCCATCTGGGGAGTGAACGAGCTGATGGAAGACCTCTCTGTCTCTACCTCTCTCTGTAACTGTCTTTCAAATAAATAAAATAAATCTTTAAAAATAAATAAATCTTAAAATATACACAGGAACCTAGCGTTACATGCGGCGGTTGAGACCTTTTCTCACTGTATTATATGTAGAGGCAGCGCGCAGTGGCGGAGCCCAGGACTGAGGGCCAGGCCTGAACACTAAGTGGCTACACCACTAAGCTTGGGACCTCGCTCAAGCCAAAGCCATGTGGCCTCTCTGGACCACATTG